ATATACCAACAAAAATTTAGTCAAATTGGTACTTAATAATTTGAAAACTTTAATTTAGAATTAAAGTTATAAATTTAAATTCCTATAATATTAAGTAATTAACCTTTTGATTAAAAAAGAATTAGAATAACAAATAAATTCAACATTTCTAAAGGCACCAAAAATGAAAACCATTCCCAAAATTTAAATCATATAACCACAATAAATAGATTGTAGCACCATGCATTTTGAAGCAACACTAACCTGGTTGATGGAGAACTTTAATTGGCAGTTGGATGCATTCAAGTTGAAGAAGAAAACCAGTTTGCTCATGAGTCCCTCAGATTTAGCTGAGATTAGGATCTCTCCCTGAATAAAAAGTGGAATGCTAGTAGTAAGAAACACAATTTCTTCATCATGTTGATAGAAAAGGATGACAAATTAAATATTTTGTATTAAGTTAAACATAAGGTAATAGGGATGTGTGCATGAAATGGCAGTTCCAAACCCACACAATTACATGAAACTAGTTGGCTCTGTAGTTCTCACAAAAAAAAAGTTCAAGATTTGTTTGATTTGACTAATTTTATTAGTCAATGTATTTTTTTCCTTAAACAACTAGTTGGGGTGTTTGAAAATATTAGCTTATAAATCAATTTCAAAATGTTTAAGTAAAAGATATAATTCTCAAGAAAAAAGTTCAAGATTCGTTTGATTTGGCTGATTTTATCCACTAATAGTTTTTTTCTTTAAACAATTGGTTTAGGTGTTTGGAAATATCAACCTATAGGCTAATTTTAAAATGTTAAAGTAATAGATATTATCGTCCTATTAGTTATGGATTAACAATTATAACTATCAATTGTTCTTAATAGTCAAACCAAATAAAACCTAAATAAATGTGTTATTAAGAAATTGGAACGTTAAAATTCTTTTGTGAATCATAGTACCCTGAGACAATCACGAGCAGACGAAGTTTCTCCATATCTAAAGTTTGACAACAAAGAATTTAAATTCAATTAGGGGTCATTAGTATAATGAAAACAAAAGGCACGTTCAATTAAATGTAATGCCTAAAAAGCAATAAAGAAATAGTTTGTAGATGTATATATACTTCGGTTTTCTTTGGTTAAGAGTAGTATTAATTCTTTAATCAAACCATAAAATAAAGCAAAATTGAGAAGCTTACATAAAAAGTTAAAAATAACCAAGTCTTAAAATTAATTATATTCTACTAAATTTGTGAATTATTCAGGAATAACAATTACCATCTCCCCCTTTTTCCCTGATCTAAAAGAAAATTATCAGTCTTAGGGAATGCATATTCCTAGTTCCATAAATAATGACAAGTGATAGTCATTACTTCTGACCAAACATAAACTTTATGGTCAGAGATGGAAGTTGAGTTGGTGCTTCAATGTTTTTGGTAGAATCAAAAGCCTGAAATCAGATTTCTTCCCAATAGCTTTTCATGATAAATAATCCGTTCGGTACTTGGAAATTGTCAGCCTCCTAGCAGAGGCACAGATTGAGGGTATGGGCTAAACTTCCAGTTACATGTCTCACCTCTCCAGTATCCAGGCAAGCTAATTTCTCAACAAGCTGCTAGGATAGAGCTCATTCTAGACTGTACATTGGTAGGGGAAAGCTGACATAGAGGCGATGATGCCAAATCAAGTTGCGGTACTATTGAGTGCGCAAGTTTATAATTCACAGCTCATGCTTCTGCTTAAAGCAAATTTCATGATTTAGTTCAGTTGAAACCAAAATAAGGTCACATAAAAGTTTATAACTTTTATAGTATCATCCTAAAATCAATTGACAATAATTGGTGAGCCTCATATTGTATTTAAGTCTACAGGACTTCGCTTAATTGACCAAAGTGGGATTTCCCACCTGACAACTTCCATGGAACTAAACATCAGAAGAGGTAGCTGCCAATGGAAGCTTCATTAGAGGTATTGTTTGACAAAGGGATAATGCCATTTTGTCCTTAAAGAAATGACCCTTTATTTAGCTTTCAAAGAAACGGCCCTTTATTTAGCTTTCAAAGAAACAAGAAGAAAATGATAGACATCATAGCATGTGCTCTCTTCCACGATCTCTCCATTTCCCTTCTCTTAAACTTCTTTCCGAACAAAATTCTTGCGTACCAGTTTAATGGCCAAAATCTTTGATTTAATAGAAATCATTTTCAGTGAATTGTGTCTTCAAATTCCATGGATCTCATTTCCCCTTCTTTAAAATTGCCCTGTTCAAAAAAAAAAAATTCCAACAGTATTAATTCAAATTCGGGGAAAAATTACGAGACTGAAATGTTTAACAAAATTTAACCTCAATCAATTAGCATCATCAATTCATGGCATGTTACCAAGAACATGACTAATGAAATCTTGGAGCGAGGAGTGCGAAGAACCGCCTCCTTTGACTGAGGCTTTTCTACTCTTTTCACTCATCACCTTCACCTTCTTCCTCACATCGCTTTCTGGCTCCATTAGTCCTACCATCCCTCTCTTTATCTCTTCTGCAGTCACGATTGGTGGTTCAATCTCTAACCTAAGATCCATGTTGTAATCCATCTTAATCTCCACTGCTAAACCTAACTCCTTAACCAATTGGAATGCATTGAATTGTTGTTCTGCATATAGTGGCCACGCCGCGATTGGAACACCAAACAATATGCTCTCCAGAGTGGAATTCCAACCGCAATGCGATACGAATCCTCCGACTGCTGGGTGGGCCAGAACACTCACTTGTGGGGCCCATCCAATCACCTTTCCAATCTCAACCGTTCGATCTAAGAACCCTTCTGGCAAAACCTCCTCCAAATTTGAATAATCGGTTGGTGATGATATGGTGCCCTTCGGTTGGGGTTTGCGTAAGGACCACAAGAATCGATGTCCGCTCTGTTCCAATGCACGTGCGATCTCTTGCACCTGATCTTCACCGAAGCTTCCCAGGCTCCCGAAGCATAGGAACACAACTGATGATGGAGGTTGATCGTCAAGCCATTGCATGA